GGAAACGTTAAACAGCTTTAAAACAGGTATCGAGGCTGAACACCTCTAAATCTCTAAAAACAATGTTCAGGTCTTTAGCTCTCATTCAGCCCGCCTGCCTCGCATGTGTCGAGCAGAGTTAGTGGAAGCCCCAGGGCGAGAACGGGATTTCCCAAGATGATCCCACCAACAGCAGAGGCGATGTTGGGCTTTGCCACACAGCTCTTCTCCTCGGTTCCCTCCTGGGGTGATCCCCCACCTCCTCCATGCAGAACACCCCCCTTCACCCGTCACTCAACACACATTCATCCACACTGGCTGGGCGGGTCTTAGAATGAAACACGTGTATGCTTCAAGTAATGGTACTAAAATGCCCGGATTTTAGCTTTAGTGTCAGGCAGGCACTGAAATGAAAGCCATTGTTGTCCCACAGGCCCCTCCCATCTCCTGTGTGCCTATGTGTGGGTGTGTGTGTATCTGCGTGTTTCTGTCCATAAGCCCAAGGTTAACAGGTACAATAAAGAAGAGGTCTGGGTTGGGGGGCGGCAAGTGGCTCAGCCGGTTGGGCATCAGACTCTTGGTTTTGGCTAATGATCTCAGGGTGGTGGGATCAAGCCCCAGGACAGGCTCTGCACCCAGTGGAAAGTCTGCTTGAGATTCTTCTCCTTTCCCTCTCCCTCTGGTTCTGCTTCCCCCCTCCCTCCCCGGACACATGCGGTGTACTCTTTCTCTCAAATAAGCCTTTAAAAAGAAAAGAAAAAAGAAGAGGTCTAGGACCAGCAGGGCGGAGGTGTGAGTAGCCTTCCAGGACAAGTGGGGCAGTTATACCCTTGGTTCTAGCTGCTGGGAAGGGCACTGGGGGATCTTAGCAATGACTATGGTACTGGCAGGGGCCTTCAGAAGTTTGCCAGAATGCTTTTTGCTAGGCTTTTAGAAACCTGTTTATCAAGGGCTGTGGTTAAGAGGGGGAAGTTGTCCAGCCAGTCTCAGCACGGGTACAGTCTGCTCGGGAAGTACTAAGGACTGACCCTTGAGGGGCTCTGGCTACTGCTACAGATCCTTCCCTGGAAAGGCCTGGGTGTGGGGACCGGCCATCCCACCCTTTGAAGGACATCCTAGAGATGGGTTGGGAGAAGGGTGACCTGCCTGGACAGGGCATTGTAGAAGTGGCTAGTGCAGATAGGAGAGGAGCCAGGAGAGAAAGGCTTTCTTGATTTGGAAATAAGCAGAAAACACAAGGGAGAAAGGAATGCTGAATCAGGACCAGGAGCTGGAGCCCTCCCTAGTGCCAGCCTGCAGCCTGCTAGCTACATTTCTGTAACCTCTGTGAATGAAGCAGAGGGCAGCAAGCCAGGGACACTGGCTTCTCGGTGGTCACATTTCATGAAGTGGGAAGGAGAAATGGGGGGGATCATTTGGAATCCTATCTGTGCAAGGAGCCATCCATACCGGTAGAGATAGAAAGAGACACAGGACAACACAGAGTGTCATTTGTACTCCGTGGAGAGGGCTATGCTACTCATTCTCCCTCTGCCTACCCCTTGCTTAAAGCAGAGGTCCCCGGAGTTCTGATCCCTCGTGTTCCAGTCCAGCTGCTCTAAATGGCCCTTTTAATTAGGGGTGGGCTTAAGGGGTGTAATGGTTTGAACCAGAGTGTCTGCCTTTGAAGGAAGGCTTCTGCTTTCCACTTAGAAGGAAAGGCATCAGCTTGCTTGAAGTAATCGCTTACTGAGTAATCGCCATAATAAGATTGAGAATGAAGGTGACCTATAGAAGCATGGTAAATACACGATTTTCTCTGCTCAGTAAGTGAATTTTGATTATAACTCAGCACTTGCCTCCGGTCCTTGAATACAGTTAGCATTCTCGGAAAAAGACCGGGAAAGGACAAAGTGGAGATATGCTTCCACAAAGAACAACACAGGCTTCCCAGCCCTAACTGCAGCTGCACACAACCTAAAAAACTGAAAGCAAGGTTGCCGTCTCTGTCCTTGGTCACCATTTCGTGTACCAGCCTGTCATACCAAGTGTAGGGAGGCACCACAGATCAAAAGCTATTCAGGGCTAACATCGCCACAACTGTTTTTTTCAGAAAAAGAATTTTTCCCCCATGTAGATCATAGCTTGTTATATCCAAGGCATATTTCTGTGGTCTGTCTATGGAAATTAATGCTTAGAAGGTGCACTTTTCCTTTGAGGTTTTATTTGCTTTTTAACGTAAGTGATAGGACCAGCCACGCACCTATAGAATTGTTGCTCTAAAATCTCTGCAAATGGGTGTCAATGCCCAGGTTTGCAAAGCAGGTAGGACTTACCTGATGGGCCTCCTGGACCCTGGAAACACACAATGTGCTTATGGAGACACCATCAAGGTGCTCTGGGTTGCAGAGCTCTCTGTGTCTGCCTGGCAGGATGCACGGGAATCAGACCCCCCGAAGCATCAGACACTCTCACCTTGCTTTGTTTACCTTGCTGACGCTTGTCTGAGCAAAACCTCTAAGTGGTTTTTTACGGGAAATCAAGAGCCAAATGAATATGTATTTGAAAAAGTGAGCCACAGAAATAGCCTCCCAAAGCATATGTCACCTATTTTTATGTTGCTGCTTATATGGTTTCTAAGTGGGCTCAAGGCTTTAAGTGGCTACTTCTCAAGTTCCTCATGGAACCCCACAAGTTATGCACAATAACATAATTTTTAAAAAATATTTTATTTATTTATTTGAGAGAGATCACAAGCAGGGGGAGCAGCAGGCAGAGGGAGAAGCAGGCTTCTGGCTGAGCAGGGAGCCTGATGTGGGACTCGATCCCAGGACTCCAGGATCATGACCTGGGCTGAAGGCAGACACTTAGCTGACCTCTCCACCCAGGCGTCCCAACATGATTTTTTTTTTTTTTTTCTGGAAGAGAGTGCTGGAAAGCACGTTCACCTCTAGTAATCCTTTTTAGCCGTGAGCCAGAGCTATGGAGTTATTCATTCCTATGTCCATTTTAAAGGTGAGGCAGGGAAGGCTCAGAGAGATCGAATCTTTCAAGGGCACACAGCTGGTGAGCCAACCCTAACCTCCACCCTGACTCTGAACTCCTGGGATTCAGGCAGCAGAACAACTTACCAATATCCAAGCAGACATCCCTGCAAGATATTCATAGATGCACTTCACCTCACCCCACCGCACCCCAAGATCTCAGCACCCCTCTCCTCCATCATCAGCCGCAGTCAATGAAACATATAAATCCAAACTTGGAAAAGGCTAAGTTTCATAAACAATTTTTAAGGGTGTTAAAATGCAAAATAGGAGTAAACAAAATTTCTTGCCACAGGGAAGTAACTAATGTAAAGTGACAAAATAATGGGAGTTTGAATGCGGTCTCAAAAGTGGCCATAAAATGGAATTCAGAATCATATTTTAGTATGTACGCCATACACTTGCTTTGCTAAGGGTGACTGGCAGTGAATTCTCATTTATAAAACTAAGCCATGATGGCAAAAAGAGACAGTGGATTGAGGGGAAGGAGAGAGAGAGAGAGCGCGAGCGAGCAAGTGCATAAGAAGGAGAGAGCATGAGCCCCAGAGCCGAGTCACAGAGTGACTGGTGCTGGTCACAGACTGGGTACCTCAGAGGGCCAGTTCCTGGATCTGGGCACTGCCCCAGTCCCAAGGCGGCTCCTCACTCCTGCACCCAGGACTGGCCACCTCTACCGCCTCGAGCAGCCGTCCCTCCTAGGGACTTCCAGGAACTTGGGTGAGGGGAAGGGATGGGCACCCATCAGGGCTGACCTGCGGGGCTCCGGTTGAGGAGAGTCTGACGCTTTGTAGGAGTCTATAAAGTGATGAGCAACAAGCAACACTTTTCCTACCGGAGAGCAGGGTCAGAATGACAGATCTGTCCTCACGGAGACCGTTCCGTGGCTCCTGCTGCAGACCCGCGCTCCTCCCTGTCACTCAGCCCTGCGCGCAGCGGGGAGGACAGGAAAGCAACTCCCATCGGGGCCATCGTTGAATTTCAAACAGAGCCACGGTGGGCTCAGAGTTTCCTCTTTGGGGAGTTCATCCGCGCCACCCCCACCCCGGCACTGTCTTCCTCTCTTCCCCACCGCCCCAAGCCAACAGCTCTTCATTCGTCTCCCTGACCTGGCTGTGATGGGGGGCCGTCTCTCCAGATCTCTGATTTGGGCTATTTGGCGAAAGGGCATTGGCCTGGAGGCACACATGCAGAGGCGGCGGCGCCGGAGCGGCCGCAGCCGGCGGCCTGCGGTGATTCAGACAGCAGCGGCTCCCAGCCGGTTTCATTATTACACAACTGAAGCAAATCCTGCCCCCTCCTGTCCCCGGAGCGAGGGGCGCAGCCAGCTCCCCGCAAGCAAACTCCTCCCGATCTTCCCAGCTCGCTCGCTCGCTCTCTCTCTCTCTCTCTCTCTCTCTCTCACACACACACACACACACACACAGTCACACCGAGGCTGAGCACGATAAACCCTTCGCAGAAGGAGCTCTCTCACCCAGTCCCCACTTCCGTTCTTGGGGGTTCCTGCCCCGCCCCCCATAGCTACTTCAGAGGCCGCCAGAAGGGGCTTCCAAAATCCATGTGCTCGCCTGCTTTTCCAAACACATGGGACAGTCTGCAATTTGGGTAACTTTTCAAATCCTGTCTCCTGAACACTTGGCCATGAATATTTGGGAGCAAGGAGAGGACGCCCCCTACTCCCTCCACCACCTTCACTTGTGACCCTGACCCCACTCCTGGGCTGACAGCGGCGGGGGCGGGGGGTGCTGGAGAGGGAGAAGAGGCCAGTCCACCCCTCCAGGTGCTCCTGGCAAATCGGGGAACAACACGCTGTCGCCAAGAGCACAAGACGCCTAGAAAGCCAGAATGAGCCGGGCTACCCCACCGGGTACCCGGTGCGTCCGAGCCCTAGCCAGGGAGCCTTTGCTGGGAGATCCAGGCTCATGTGGGAGTCCCCGACAACGGAGAAAAGACTGGAACCCGAGCTGCGCGAATATAAAATGATAGACAGCAACTCACCTTTAGGTTGTGCGTGGGGTTTACAACGCAGACAAGTTGCCCCGCAGCGGAGAAAACCCGTTTAGCCTTGTAGTGCTGAAAGCGGAGGTGAATGAGATCTAACACAGCCCCAAAGCACTGGGTAAAGAAAAGCATCACAACTTTTGGGGGGGGGGGGGTGGTTGTTGGCACAGGGAGGCAGCGGAAGAAGCTGTAAGTCCTTGGGCTCTGGAAGGAGCGCAGCCTCTGAGACGCTCCGCTCCAGCCCGGCTTAGCGTGCCTTCATATTCATCATCAAAATAAGACGGTTAGAACCTTGCAGCAGTGAGGCGGCCAATCAAAAGGACAGAAATGTTATCCTTGAGGTGCAGAGACAGCCAATAACAAATGCCTCCCCTACCGAAACTCCCTGATGAATTGAGCCTGGCGGAGAATGTATTATTGAACATTACCATAGATCAGCTCGTTGCATTTATCTTGTGATTACAGCCAACCATACATAATGCTGGGGAGATAGGCTGACAAAATTGATTGCTTAATGTGTCTCCATTTATTAATTGACTTAATTTAACATGAGAGCCTTTCTTAATGCGCTGGCAAAAACGTAAAGCATTTAAACCGCCAAATAGTAAAACACCCTGCTCCAAAGTAGGCAGATGGATAACGCAGATCGTGGCTCGGCTCACCAGAGCTGGTTGGGAGAAAATCAAATATTGCAAGACTCCCGATTCCAGATAAGGATTTGGCAGCATAGAAATGTGCATCTTTCAATCTTGTGCTCTCTGCAATTTGGATTTCAGCTCCTTGATAAATCTTACTTTCCAATCTTTATCAAAGGAAAGAATCCCTAACAAAAGCATTTGGAGGTGGTAGTGGGAGGGGGGGGAAAATATATATATATATATATATATATATATATATGCAGTAATTACTGAAGCCGGAAAATATTAAAGCATAGAAACACACAGAGTATGCTTCTAAAAATAATGAAATCCCTGATGCATGAATGCACACATACAGAAAAACCTACACAGAGAGGAAAGTGGCTTGTAAATCAGCAAAATAATTACAGATGTGGAGGGCCTTTGCTTGTCATTCATTTGCATATTGGTGGGCAGCAAATTGCTGATTAACCACTAGATTGTTGGAGACATTAGAATAGGGACTAGGAGCACATACACCACATCATTTGCTTGTCTCCGTGAAAGCCAGCAGCACATTTCTGGGCTCTAGCAGGCAGGGGGCATTCCAGTCTCCTGACTGCCCTCCCTCTCCAGAATGGAGCTGGGGGGGGGGGGTTGGCACTAAGCCCACTCTCTGGTTCTGGAAGAAAGGCTCCTGAGCAGCACACAAAGTGTCCCAGGGTATCCAGGGAACTAGTTCTGATGGCTTAGTCAGTCTTCGCCACGAACACAGGAGAGTTGAAAGTGTTGTGTCCCCTTGTCTTTAGCTGTTTCTCTATTGAGAGGTCACCCATCACCTGGGTGGGGTGGGTCAGCCTTGTGTGTGTGTGTGTGTTACACCTAGACTATGAGCCCATTGTCCCATCCTGAATGACTCCTAATGCTTGGGTTGTAATGTATGCAAAGTATGCCCACACCTAGGACACCCACATCTATGACCTGGTCAGGCAATTAAAACAGCAACAGATGAAAATATAGGGCAGAAAAATGTATAGGTTTACTAAAACCAAGACAAAGGCGGGTGTTAGTTTTAACTTGAACTTAAAACCAAACCAATGTTTGCATCTAACTGGTACTTCCATTTTAATTAATGGAAACTGTGTACTTTCTGAAAATAATTGCAGTGACACAAAACTAGAAGGTAACAGCATTTGAACTGATTAGAAACTCATATAATGTGATACAATGTTACAGGAGATGAGTCCCTAGAACCTCTCATTACATGGTTCATAAATAAGGGTTGCTGGACCATGATACCTGAATTTGCTTTCTGAAGTTTTCATTTTCCAGAACAAGCTTTCAGCAGTTCAGCGGTAAAGCATTCAGTGTTCTTTCATTGCCTCACTTAAAAATAAATAAATAAATAAATAAATAAATGAATAAATGGGGGTGCCTGGGTGGCTCAGTGGGTTAAGCCTCTACCTTTGGCTCAGGTCATGATCTCATGGTCCTGGGATGGAGCTCCGCACGGACTATCTGCTCAGTGGGGAGCCTGTCCACCCCATCCCCCGCCTGCTCTTTGCCTACTTGTGATCTTTGTCTGTCAAATAAATAAATAAAATCTTAATAAATAAATAAACAAATGAATGAATGTAAGCCTATGCTCCCATAGACTCCTTAAAGACACAATGTACAACTTGGAAAAGCCCAGATTTCCCTTTTCTACATCCTCTGTTGGAATGGAACTATTATGCTATTTGTTTCTCTCATTGTAAGACCTCAGAATGTTTCTTAACCTCACTGAGGCTTGGTTCCCACACAGGTCACCTGGGGGTTATAGATATTTGTCTCTCAAGGTCATTGTGAAGTCTAAGATGATGTATCTGGAAGTGCCCAGCACAGTGCCTGATTTAAAGCAGCCCCTCAGTACTTGAATCTGCCTCTTATCTCTGGTGGAAGGGTAATTACTTGGTGGCATGTTTTTTTCTTCCTGCTCCATGAAATATTTTTCCCCATGGATATTCATGTAACCCTCGAGGGGCACGCAGGCATGAAAACAGTGGACTTGGCTCCTGCTGTGTTCTCAAGGGTAGGTATTCCTCATATGGCCTGGAGACTGGGCCTGGGAGTGAGGGCTGAGGGACCGAGGAGTGCATGTTGACATCAGAAGTGAGGACAATGCCATTGACCTGCTCTTGTGGTTGCTCTTCTGTGGTCCCAGACTTGAGCCCTTGCTCTAACTCTCTACCCAAACACTGGTTTACATCCTTCTATTTTAGAATATTAACTACATCGTCTGTCTTCAGAATCAGTCCTCAAAATAATCACCCATTGAGAAATGTTTGGAATTAACCCTAACAGCAGATGCTTATGCTTCATGATTCCAAAATAGGGTGACATAATCCAGCTTTCAAATAGAGATATAGAGCTGGGTCCCACTCAGCTGCCCTTCTGCAGTCATCAAACCAATGCCCTTGTGCTAACCGTGATGCTCAGGGCTTCCCCTTCACCTCTGGAGGGACGATTTACATTTTATCTGGACTAGAGAGTCGCTGAGGTTGGTTACCAGACAAATTGTAATTCAAACCCTGTATTGCTACTAACTGTTACGAAGTATTTTATTTCACTGATGCCTAGTTTTGTTGTCTACAGAATGAAGCTAATAGTGCTCTTGAAAAGTACCTTAAAGATGACATGAGATAATATAGGCAAAGTGACCAGCCCAGTGCTTGGTTTTTGTACGAACTTTAATGAGAAGCTCCTATCATCATCACCATCACCATCATCATCATCTTTTCATCAAAAATATCTCGGTCCAGTCAACCCAAAGTGTTGGTAAAGTAGTGGAATAACCAAAAATTTTGTTCAATATGCAGACCACTTTGGAAAACTGTTTGGGAATATCTGCTGAAGGTAAACATGTCCATACCCTATCTATGACCCAGGAAGTCCACTCCATGTGCCCAACAGCAGTGTGAGCATGTGCTCACCAGGAGATTTTCACTAGGATTTTCATTGCAGCATTGCTGCTATATCCACAGTGGTTACAAACTGGACACAAGTATCAACAATAAAAAAATGGGTAAACTACCTTATTGTCCTCTGTTTGCTAAATACTACATACAAATGAAAATGTGAATTATTTGCTGCATGCAACAATGCAGTAACATGGGTGGATCCCACAGATGTAATTCTGAGGTTGAGAAGCCAGGTGTGAAAGAATACATGATGTGTGATTCTATTTATATGAAGTTCAAGACATAGACAAGGTAATCTATGATGTGGGAGACAGGGGGCAGTGGTAATCTTGTCAAAGGGTTATGGCTGAAGTAGACACAAGGTTGGTTTTGGAAAGCTAAGTATATTCTGTTTCTTGGTCTGTGTTCTAATTTTGTGAATGTTGTGGGTTGAAATTGTTTCCCTAAAAACAGATATGCTGAAGCTCTAATTGCCAGGACCTCAGAATGTGACCTTAGTTGGAAATAGGGTCATTCCAGAGGTAGTTGAGTTAAGATTAGGTCATTGGTACAAGTTCTAATCCAATACAACTAGCGTTCTTATAAAAAGGGAGCATTTGGATCCAGAGACATACACACAGGGAGAATCACCCGTGAACATGAAGGCAGAGATTGGCGGAATACATCTGTAAGTGAAAGAACACACAGTATGACCAGCAAATCACGAGAAGTTAGGGGAAAGGTGTGGGACAGATTCTCCCTCACAGCCTCCAGAAGGAACCAGTCATGCTAACATCTTAATCTCAGATGTCTTATTTCCAGAACTGGGACACAGTAGATTTCTATTGTTTAAGCCACCCAGTTTATGGTACTTGTTGTAGTAGTCCTAACAAACTAATACCATGGAAACATCTATTTTGTGAAAATTCTTTAGGCTATGAACTTAACCATCAAAGCAGAGATACATGCCCCAAATAACACTAAAGTAACATGAAGATGAGGACATAATTGCGTTTTGAAATAGTGAAGTCCTTCATTAAGATTTAAAAAGTTTGTTGAAAGAAAAAGGGAAATACTTGATTACATAAAATGTTAAATTCTGTCAAATAATGTCTAACAACTGAAATTAAAAACAAACAAACACCTAACATGTTGGGGGATATATTTGTAGGAATTATGACAAGAAAAGAGTTGTGTTCCTGATAAAGAACTGTTGTATATGCATTTTAAAGAACTAAAATTCTATGGAAAAAAAAAATGAAGGATATAAACAGATTACACATGAGAAGAAATACAAATATTTTTTAAATGATTTCATTTATTTATTTTAGATGGAGAGGGTGTGAAGCAGGAGAGGAGCAGATGGGGAGGGAGAGGGAAAGGGAGAAAATCTCAGGTAGATGCCACACTGTGTGTGGAGCCCAACACAGGGCTTGATCCCACAACCCAGAGATCATGACTGAGCCAAAATCAAGACCCAGATGCTTAACTGACTGAGCCACCCAGGCACCCCAGAAATAAAAATATTAATAAATGAAAAATGTTTACTAGAAGTAGAATTCTAAGAAACATCAATTAAAACAAGATAGCGTCATTTTCTTATCAAATTGGCACTTCTTATTTTTAAACAATACTATGCAGTGTTAATGAATCTTCTGTGAGACGGACATTCTTACCTACTGGTGATAAGACCAATAGTAACAAACATATACATGCTTTGGAGTATGTCG